GAACTGAAAAGCAAAATTAAAATAAATTCTAAAATTTGATTAGATATTGAGACGTCTCATGCTACTTGATTTAATCAAATATAACTTAAGCATCCTGTATACACAGAAAGTCAGTGAAGATGAATAATGGCATCAAAAGCAAATGAAGACATGGGAAAGACTGAGTTTCACATAAATTGCATTCTGTAGCTTATTTTACACAATCAAGTCATGCTCAAAATGCAATAAGGTTGATCCATAACTGACAAGAGGTACAACATCAAATTTGATAGTTTAGTAATCCAGATTTTGTTGCTGATATTTTCTAAAAATAATGGATATTGTTCTTTGTTTTTCTAAATACTTGTGTTTTCACCCGGGCAAAATAAAAACAAAGAATCTCCCTAGAAAATAATGTAGAAAGACAGTGTTGCAGGGTTTTACTGATTTTTTTTAGGATGGTTGGATTGGTCTTTGTATAGTTTTCGCCTTGTAATTCACAAAAGCCCATTTATCTTCCTAAAATATGGACAGATCTGAAATCTAGATCTCAGTCCTAAAACCTGCGGTTCACCTGTTCTTTAGCAGCATCTACTGAAGGATTTTTATTAGGAAAACAGGTATAGTAATATTTTTGATAAGCATGTGTGTTCAGGAAGCAGCGTGAAACTATCAGCACTGCAACAGTGTTTTGCTCTGTGTGCATGTATCTTTTATTTTATTATTTATGTATTTGCCAGATGTGGCTCTGTTTCTTAATTTATTCCTCATTTAGCCAGAAGTCCCAGTGATTTGATAGAAGAATTCTGTAGTAATTTTACCTGAGCAAAGACATCAAGGCAGTACTGGTCCTAACGTGTAGATTTAATATAGAAATTTTTCTACCTTGTAAGGATGTACGAGCACATTTTTTTCATGAAGGCCTTTGACTTTAAAGGTCTCCTACCCATCCTCATCTACTTCTTCCCTGTCATGGCCGTGATACCGCTTACTTTTGGCATTTAGAGGTGCTGTTCTTTTTAGTCAATATATATACCAGACATACAGAGACAGGAAAAGCTGCAGAACTTCACTAGGAACCTAATAACAGGAGACAGGAACCTAATGACAGGAGATAGATAGAAACCTAATGACAGGAGATGATGAGACAAAAGCTAACTGGAAGATAAGTCTCTGACCCCAATATCGTCACTTCCTTTTTTCCATGTACGGCAAAGCTGCTTAACTCTCAGAAAGATCTTTTTTTTTTTTACATAAAACTGTCCAAAACATAGCTTGAAAACAAAATCCCAAGTGAAAAAGACTGGTTCAACAGGTTGGGTAAAACATGATACACTTCAACAGAGTGTTTATCAGTGGAGATAAATATGTGCTCATAATTCTGTATATGTTTCTCTATAAGCTGCAATGTTTTTGGAACTAAATCAATTCTTATTTAATTTAGGCAAGTGTATCACAATGTTTATTTGTGCTAATGAGCTTTATGCAATGAGAACAAAATATATCAAGTGCAATTTCACAATTAATATTGGAGATCTTTTACTTGTAAGGAATTCTTCAACCTCATAGATGAATACAGTCACATTACTAAACAGAGACACAGACACTGTGGAGAGAAGATTAAGTTGACTATCTAAATGTTTGAAGCTGATTTTTTTTTTAATTTTAAATGAAATTTCATTAAAGGCTTAGCCTTTGATAAATTCCCCCTCGTTTTGACAGCAGTACAAGGACAACAATGATAGCAGTGGGACTTCTAAGACAAAAAATATATCAAACTATGTGCTATCAATAAATGATCTTTAGATTATGTGTAGGAAAGAAATCCCACGATCACTTTATCACATACTTATTAGGCTTATATCCATAGCAGTGTATGAAAAATTAATTACTGTCCATAGCAAACTCTTAGGTGATTCATTTATTTCTGGTTTTTGGAAGGAAAGAAAGCAGGAAGCATCCACAGTTCTATCCAGGTGCAGACTTAAGTGGACACAATCTTGCAATGTATTCTTCACTCCTAAACATTGAGCTAAGACCTTATAGTCTAACACAATGGCAGCCCTCCAGATAATTTCAGCTGACAGGAGGTTGCTCACAAGCTGAAATGTTTAGCTAGATCAAGTCCAGAGGGCTGTTTACCTTGCACAACCAAAGTCATACTCTTTATAGAGAACTACAAAATTAGATTTAGTTTATTATGCTGCTAATGATCTTCTTTGGGGAAAAAGTTACAGGTTTAGCTAGTCTGAAGGCTATAGTAGATATTTTAATCTGTTTTATCTAAACTAAAGTGCTAGTAGTTGTTTCTGGTTGTGACTAGTAATGTGTCTTCTGTTGTATTTTCTTCAGGTGACTCACTGTTTTCTTAAAATAAGACATTGATGTAATTCAGCTCTGAATATTGCATAAAAGTTACCTGTGCATGTGTTGGTGGCTTGGATTATGAGATGCATATTTAACATAGTATTATAGATATACTTCACACTTTATTGAGTTTTAAATGTATTGCATCATGCTAGTTATGCAAAATATTTTACTGCCTTTTCACAGGAGCTTCATTTTATGCTTATTACCAAATGGAACCATATCTTCATTTGGCAGAAATTACACTCAAATCTTCAGTAGAGAACATAAGGTTCTTCTTCTTCCCTATGCTATGTTTATTATGGTTAATCATATGCACATATAAACATAGAAGGAAAAGACATCATTTTGAGAGTCAAGATCACAGTGGATACGTAAATAATGTATTTTTGCTTCAGAAATTTACTAAAAAATTATTTTGATCCAAACTGACATAAGCCAAATTGCTTTATAAAAGGACCAAAGAAAAACCTAACATAAAAATAAACTGAGTGAAATTAAATATTCATTAAACCTTAAGCAAAACCATTTGTTTCCATTTTGAATACTCTTAGCATCAGCAAAGTAATGAAAGTTTTTAAGAACTATTCATAATACTGTAGGTATCCACAGGCACTTTTAGCTCATAGCTAAATGGTAAGGCCATTCACCTTCAGTACTGGCGAGCCAGATTATCTTCCCCGTTCTGAATGATCTCTATCTGCATCTCTCAGACTGTGCCATGCCACTATAATTTGACCAGCCTGGATTGTTTTTCTGCCGTACTTATGTTGGAGTTTTTCCACTCTTCTTGGAATAGTCATTTGAGCTAGAGAGAGAAAGAATCTGTATGTGAGATGGTTTCTAAGGTACTGTCGCTGATGGGAATAGCCCTTCTGCTCTCAACTGTAATGAGAAGCTGGAAAGAGGGCACCAATTAGTTTTAGTTCTCATCCTCCTCTACGTTTGGAATAATGATGCTTGCTTAGCCAGCAGCTGGTATAGCTAGTTCTTCTTGTTCTGTGAATCTGTTTGAATTTTTTGAACATTTTTTTCATAAAAACTTGTTGAGAGGGTTTGAATCTCTCAAGTATATTCTACCCAAATCTTAAACTTCCTGGACGCTTAAATCATTTAGTTGTCTTTGAGTAAAAGACATGAATAATGTGCGTCCATGAAAATAAATCTGTGATGTTTTTAGCACAATGAACAATAAGCATTGGAGCTTTCAGGAGACCTATGTTCAGAGAGATTAACTGTAGGAATCCATGCAGGTATGGTGTCAATGTTTGGACACTCAACTCTGATAAGTGTAGGGGACTTTTCTGGAAAGATGTAGATGCCTGATTATTAAAAGGTTGAACAAATCAGCCGCTCTAGCAAAGCTTTGGCGGGAGCCCTTTTCATGTGAATTTGTAGCAGGATGTGTCCTTAACCCCATTATTCAATTTTTTATTACAATTTTAGGCTCATTTTTATTCAAGTACCAGTACTGGGTGAAGTTTAGATTGAATCTCTTTTCGTGCTCAACTGTCTGACAGCCCATGCATAAATGCTACATTTAATGTAAAAAGTTTAATATTGACTGACCAAATGATAGGCTTTGATCTGCTTCAGGTCTTATACTATCCTTGTAAACATACCTTGCATACCATGGAAACAGAAGAAATGTCAAACGTGTAAGCAGAAAGGAGACCGTATGCAAATAGTTGTCAGATGTATCAGAAGAGAATTTTTCTAATAGCATTTCAAATCCTTGACGTCAACTCTCCGCGGAACTAAAATTCTTCCTAGTATTTTCAATACATTTTTTTGTAATAATAATGCTGAAAATGTAGGACAAATAGAAAAATTAGTCTTCTGTTTGTTAGTTTATTTGGTCATATGTTATGAGTGTAATGTAATTGTTCCATTTTTACATATGTACTGAGCCAGGGTTAATTTTTCACTTTTATTTCATACCCAATACTACAAACACCTGCTTTTTTTCATAGTTTTTTCCTACTTCAAAAGCTATGCCCTTACTTTTGATTTCAGAGAAAATAGGTTTCTTCTGACCTGTTCTGCAAATTATTTCTTAAACTGAAAGGAGAATAGAAACCTTCGATTAATAGTTTGCTGATAGTTTGGAAGCTAGTCTATTGTGGGGGGGAGGGGGAGGGAAGAGGACTTGTATGTTCAGCTGTGTTTCAGAGTTTCATAAAAATGGCCATATGATTTCTATAGTTTTCTGGCTTAATCTCATTTAAAGGAATTCAGTCTCTGAACTGAACTCTGATCTACTTAGCCATAACTGTTTCTTCTGTTAAATTTGATTTAAAGTTTGTTGTTCTCCTTTACATAATTATTTAGTAAGCAAACTAATCAATCAACTCTTATATTTGCCTATTTGCTGAGTTAGCTATTAAAAAAAGATCATGTTATAAAAGACAGGTATAGAAAATATTTTTGAAAAAGTTTAGCATACAAGAAAATAAACGTAGTTTTCTGATAGCTTTATATTAGAAAGCTTAAGTTAAGTCATTTATCTAAGACAAATATTATTTCATCACATTCAGTTTTCATTTCATCTCTCTTCAAGATGTTAAGGAAACTTTTTGTGGTAGATTATCAACTGCTAGTTTAGGTCTATCTTGTTGCTACAGTTTATTAAATTGATATTTTTGCTTTTCTAGATGTGCCATCAAATCCTTATGGAGTACGAATTTTAGAGTTGTCACAAACCACTGCCAAAGTTTCATTCAATAAGCCAGATTCGCATGGAGGTGTGCCCATTCATCATTACCAAGTGGATATAAAAGAGGTAGCCTCAGAAACCTGGAAAATAGTGCGCTCCCATGGAGTTCAAAGTAAGTCTACAAAAAGTAAATGGAAGTATTTTAACTGGAAGGATATCAGTAGAAAACAATGCAAGTTTATGTTTACTGATTCTTTGTTTGTCCATTACTCTTAGTCCAGTAGCTGTATCTTCAGCTAATAATAATGCAGTCAGATCTCTTAATACCAACTAGGAATTGTGCTCTGATCTTGTAAAAGTAAATCACTACTTTTTAGATTTACAAAACTTTGGTGAACAAATTTACAATTCTTTCCCATTTTTTCACTATCCAGACAAGTAGATACAAAGAACATTTTTGAAGTTACAGATTTCAAAGAAAGCAGAAATCATAGAAGAGCTTGCTTCAGAATGTGCATTAAGTATGCAGTTAACTTAAAATTTTTAAGTAAGTAAGCTGTTACGTGATATTTAATCCTGAGGATGAATTACTCATTTTGAGCTGCTTAGTAACCTTTCTACATACCTGCTAATCTTCATTATTGTTATTTCAAAAGTGTATTTATAAACTATTGTTTAACAAATAACGTGTTAAATGCATTTGTTAGATATTATGTATTGGGTATGCTACAAATGGGGCCTGTTCCTGACCAGCTCTATGCTCTCTTTGCACTTCTCTGAACATAGAAAATACGCCTAAACCTCACAAAGTAGACAAATGTTCTTTGAGAACACGCTGAGACACTGTCTGGACAGAGTACTGTTAACAGTGATCGCTTGCATCCATATTTACCCTTTGGTATTTTTAACAGGTAGTGCAAGTTGAAGCATTTTGAATGAATGCAGCCTACAACATTATTTTGTAGCTATCTGCACAATAAGGGGAGAATAGATGTAGCAAATGATCTTATGTGTTTTACTTTTATTTATTTGTTTATTTATTTATTTTAGCTACTTTTTTCAGTGAATTGCCAATAAATGCTTATGCTGAGAATTGCAATATATGAGATACTAAAACCTAAAATGAGGCATCTGTATAGTAGAATGCAACATACACAAATAAGAACCAAGCCACTGACTAGTGAGTACAGTCACAGAGGTGCTTAATTTAAATGTAAAGGAAGAATGAATGAGTCTTCAGTGGTAAATTTGTACAACAATGTATTTACCTCACTCCCCCTATAACTTTATTTTTCTGTCATTTCTACCAATATGAAGTTTGTCAAAAGATTAATTGATTAAATTAGGAAACATATAAAACTGCACAGACCATTGCGGTTATCAGAGTTGGCTAGAGCTGCATTCTTCAAAAGTTCACTATGTTTGATTTTGAAACATACTCTCAGCGTTACATATTTAGTTTTTGTAAAGAGCTAGTTTTTGAGATTTCTTTATAACATATATTGATCCACTTGGAATTTCTTTAGTATAATATCTATCTGTTTGAATTGTACGATAGTTAATAGTAAAAATGGAAAGTAGAGTGGCAGGTGCTTGCGGTAGTTATAAAGTCAATATCACTGTGAAGTATGCTATAAATATTTAGGACCTCCACTGTTATATCTATTAAAATTGAAGATACAGCTTCTCTGAGCAAAAGGCTACGTTAGGTGCTAAATGCTGTCATGTTATTTACCTCGTGGCTTCCTTTTGTGCCCTTTACTTTCTTATTTTCGTTTATCGTCCTTCCTCACCAGGAAGTTTTGAGGGCTTTTCCCTTTTTTCAGATGTATATTTTCCTCTTCGCTTCATTTTGCGCCTGCTGTAAGACTGAGAGGTTTTGGTGAGAAAACAAAAATAGGTCGCAGCCTTTTTGGACATCTTAAAGGTACCTTTCACTAGCGTATATTATCAGAGACTACTCCAAATGATGGCAAAAACTAGCAGCTATCAAAGTGACTTAAAGAGTCATCTTTGGCCTGCAATCAGATATCCCTAGTAAACAGATAAATATCAGGAAGGTATGCTTTACTGAGAGTACAGTAGACCATACTAAGCATGAGTCATAGATCTATAATTAATTCATGCTGTTTTCTGAAATCTTTATTTATATTACCCTGCATAGAAAGATTGTATGCACTATATTTCTCTAAATTTTTCTCTGAATTACTTTAAAGACTGAAAATGACTACAGATTTTCAGATATTTGTTAAGCAGGAGGCATCTTGTTGTTTCTGTAAATCTTGTTGATTCTACACTACATAATTTTGACAGGGTAGTCAAAAGGGACCTGGTTGCTTTTATCATAAATTGTTGCAGATATTCCATAAGGACTTAAAGTTTGTTATATTTGTGATGTTCTGTATAGCCAAAACAGAAAAACAAGTTGTATATTGCCAGAACAGAATGAACAGCCCAGTGCAAAGAAAGTCTTCCAAGACTGATATGTCAAAAAAACAATATTAGCTTTTTTTCGTATGACAATACTGCAAACTGTAATTGGAGTCTTTCTGAAGAGCTCAGCTTTCACCTATCTCCTGAGCATTCAAAGGGTTTCAGCAAGTTTTCTAAAAATCTGTTTAAACCTCTCTTGATGACTTTTTATCCCATTTACTGTGTCATGGTAGATACCGTTTAGATAACTCCTTTCTAAATCTCTCTTTTCAGTTACTGAATGAATTTTTAAATCAGCTTTTCTTAATGTGAAGGCCGTTCCGATTTTCTTTGTGTTTTTTGGATATGTTAAGATAGTTTAACATTTTTTAAATGATAAAAATGCATAATATTTTTGATACAGTTTCCCATTGTATGTAAGTTACTTGAAGACCATTTTCATTCCAAGCCTCTACTTTTGCTCAGTTGAAGCATAGGAGTAGGATGTTTGGTCTACATGCAGTTAGTATTCTATATTATATGATTTGTAGTTAGGTCATCACAGTTTCCACAGTTGGTCAATATTCTTCGATGGAAACAAAATCATTTTTTTTGTGTATTTGAATTTTAGAGGCAGGTTTATGGTTAAGATTCAGATATAAATGCTATTACATAGGGACAGTTACTGCTTGCACATCGCAAATAAGGATGCATGCATAATGTGTGAGTCATGAATTTTTACCCACGATAAAATATGAGGAAATTTTACAGAATATCTTTTTATCAGGCTGATTTAATGCAGGAGTGATAAAACAGCACAGCAGTCCTGACTGCCTTCTTTCTTGGCACAATGTGGGTAATGTGTAAATTCCCAGACCCACACTTAAGAGGAAGAGACAGAAAATCCTACATTCTGGAGAAAGCAGTGTCCCAAAGACTTCTAATCTTCCCACACGGCGACTGTCCAGGCTAAACTGGGTCTTCTAGTCCTTCTAGTCTTCCGCTGTAACCAGAAGAGAAGCCACCAAGATTTTGTTTTGTCTTGATAGCAATGCAACCACCAATAATTTTGGTTCACAGAGCAGCAAATAATGTATTTGTAATGAAATGAATGTAGCTTATCTACAAGCTTAAACCAGTTTGGAAGTCTGCCTGAAACTTGAACAAATATGCTCTCCAAAATTTCTTAGACGTTTTGCTCAGGAATAAAAGAAACTAAAAAAATGCTGAAATGTTATGCTGCAGTTTACTTCAGCATAGGATGGATATTACCACCCACAACTCTAGTATAATTTTTTCTTGCTTCTTTACATTTTTATATATTTATATGTATATATACACATGTTGATAAATTGTTCTTTTCAGAACATTAAAAACTCATATAAAAGTAAAATATCAAGGAAAAAACAGTTTCTGCAGTTCTAGTACCACTCAATTTGCTTGCAGTACAGCAAAATGTAGGATATAGTAAAAACCCAGTCCCATGTTAAGACTACTATAGAGATTCACATACTGCATATGTGACTGATTGTCACTCTTGTTTTAGAGAAGATAGCTCTCCATTTTCAGGTGTATGTAGCCAGTAGTCTCTCTTCCTACTTATTCTCCCTCTTGCTCCCTCTAAGCTGCTAATAGCTCGTATTACCACGAGTGTTACCCCTAATGGTTAATAACATGAAAGGAAGAAAACACACTCTCATATTAAGTGGGATTCGCAATGTTCTGTTTCTGCCCTTGCACTGGATCTAGAGCCTCATAATACAATACTCAGCTCATCCATATAGTGTGTTTTTCCTTGTTCTTGGGTTGGAAGTTCTCAGATTTAAGACTCAACGTTCTTTTTAATCTATTGTTTTAAGCTATTGCTTTTCATTATTTTTTCTGAAAGGTTTGGTTGAACTTGAATTTCTTGTATTTTTTAAATTTAGCCATTACTAGTTTATATAACATCTCAATAAATAGGGAAGACTTTAAGCACAGATAGAGGAAAGTCCGTCAATTTATTCAGTTTAATAATATTTTAAGAGGTGTTAGGTTTTCTAAGTTTTTAAGGAAGTTGCTTAGGTAATAATGCCTAGCTAATTTAAGTATTTTTTTATACTTAAAGAATTTGTTACATCAATAACATCAGTTATCCAGTTGCAAGTCTTTTAAACAAATTATTCCTAGATATATAATTCAGCATTTTTAAGATATTAGCAAATATCATCAAATACTATTGACAATGGACGAATTATATTAAGTAATGTCATAGATACTTTTCAAAAATATGGTGTAGAAAAAGAAAAAATCAAAGTTAAACCATGTTGCAAAAGCTGCTTTTCAGAATGTATTTAAGTGTTTCAAATTTTAATAGATAAGGGTATATACTCTTTTTAACTTTGAGATTTTTCTTTGGATGGCAGAAAGCAGATGCTTTATGAAATAAAGCACTAATTGTAATAAAATAAAATAATGTATGTATTATTTATGAATACATTTCATGGTGTAATATAAAAACACAGCAAAAATGGTTTTTCTTAAGAAAAGCTTATTAAGAAAATTTTTACAGCATCTTAATCTCATGCAATAAATTGGAGAATTCAATAAGTATAATGTTTTGCTTTTCATTACAAAAGAACTCTCAAGCTTCAAGCACTATTACTAATATTATTATCTGCCTTCACTAATATTATTATCTGCTCTCAACAGAACTTTTGGTTTTCTCTCTTGGATCTTGAGGAACTGGAGAGCAGATTTGAAATGATTAATTCATTGTAA